GGTTGTTCTCCAGATTTCTTGGCACAACTTGGTGAGCACATCCAGGGCAGCATCTGCTAGCTAAAATGTGTCAATTGGTATACCAACTATTCCTGGGGCCTTATTTTTTTGCTCTTTCCTTCAAAGCAGCCTGAACTTTTTTCTTCATCACCATAGGCTGTTGCTCATATGTTGTTTCATGAAATTCTTCTGTGTCTGCCAATTCCTGTCGATACAGTGACTCAGTATATTCTTTCCATCTTCTTTTAATACTAGTACTTCCTTTGTGCTTTGTATGAACTGCACAGTTGCAACCTTCAGCTTTTCCTGCTGTCCTCAAAAGAATGGAGAAATAAAAGTGTATCTATTAATAGAAGTTTGTAATAGAAATCTATGTGGAGAATTTTGAAGTACTTGACCCAAAGATTGCCTATGAATCAATTTGATCTTGTGTTAACTTTCTTGTGTTGCCCTGGAAATAACAGTAGTGGGGAGTTTTAGCCGTGTTACCAGGCGACATTATGTGAGAGTTAAGAATGAGTCCACAATTAAGGTTGCACAGTGGAATGTACTTGGCGGTGGTAGGAGGGGTGCGAGGGGATTGTGTACCAGGGAAGGAGTGTTTCTTTTGCTTTTGAAAGAGGGGAGCAAACTGCGGGGGGGGGGGCTGGGCGGGGAGAGAAGTGCAGCAATGAATGAATGGAAATCCAAAATCTCTGTAAATGTTCATTAAAATTATTAAAAAAAAAAAAGAATGGGCCTATTAGTAAACTTCTCCACCTGGCCCAAGTGACCATGAATAAGCTGTAAACACCCAGTGGGAACCCCTAGCTTTGGCCTTGGAGCACAGTGACACTTATAACTAACTGGGTATACGTCCTTGGTGTGATTCTAGATCAACACTCATAACACTATTACAAGAAATATTGGTTCCTATTCAGAAAGGCATCATTGTCATTGTTGAGGAGTTCTGGTGGCTTAATGGCTTAGTGACTTGCACTGTCAAACCAAAGGTACGTGGTTCTAATCCACCAGCTGCTCCATAAGAGAAAGATGGGTCATCTCCCATGCAATTTACTGCCTCTGAAAACTCACTGGAATGTCAGCTATATGTTGGTTCGAACTCAATGGTACACAACAACAACAATTTGAAAATGAAGATTCTAAAACTCAGATCACTCCTGTATGACTCTGGATGATTTTTTTTCTCTTAGCTGAATTGCTACTTGGAAGACAATATTAACCACCGGACTGTTGTGTGAGCAGTGTGTTAGGACTCCTGCGGAAGAGATGCAGGGTTTCTTATCCTTCACTTTAATAAGTTTAAAAAAAAAAGGAGGGGGGGCGTGTTTCAACACTCCGGAAAGTGCTCAGTCTTTCTTTTTTTTTTTTTTTTTCGCTGCAGCTGAAAGCTTCTTTATTGTGGTAAAATGGCGGCGGCGGTCGTGCTCAGTCTTTCTGAACGAGTCTGGTAGGGTTTAAAAAGTCTAGCAGTAAGAGAACAATTAAATAGCAACAATATGAACGATATGAATGAAATGCATCTTTTTTCCACCCCTTGATAATTATTTACCCTGGACAAGGGTGCAGAAACATATTTCTTGCTTTTTAATCAAAAGGCTTCCTCTCTTTCTTACCTTGGGGAACTTGTACAAGGCCAACACTTATACCAGCAAGTAAGTCTCCAAGAAGCCAATCCTTGATTCGATACAAACATACCCACTCCAGGAAGGGAAAGATCATGAGCATGCACCCTAAGAACCTGTGCCATGAGCAGCTGTGAGGAAAAAGAGCAGAGACTTGGTTAGGTTCTGAGAGAAAAAGCCTACCTAGCCGAGAAGACTCAATGCACACTTCTTCTTCCCATCTATCAGGCTTTTTTGTGTGTCGTTTGTTTGGTGTTTTGTTTTTTTTTTTTTGCTTTAACAAACAACATTTATTCTTACAGTTTAGGGGGCTAGAAGTCCAAATTCAGGGTGCTAGTTCTAGGAGAAGTTTCTTTCTCTCTCTCCTTCTCCCCTCTTTCTCCTGCTCCCATCAACAACATCAAACTTACTCTTTGCTGTGGAGATATCCTGTGCACCGCAGGATGTTCAACAACTTCCCTGCTAACAAAAAGCTACGGGGTGCCAGTATATCCCTCTCGCCCCAGTTAGAACAACCAAAAGTATCTCCAGACATTGGCAAATGTTTCTTGGGTATGAAGTGGCCATTGACGGACTTGTAATCAGTAACACTGGTATGAGGTAAAGGAATGGATATATTTCTTACCATTTTCCATATAAAAGTGGCATTTAACACCAACACTACGAAATGTATACAATAGATAGAATATTATGTCCCATGTTTAAGAAATAAAAGGATGTTGCGTGTCTTAAAATCAGAAAACTGTGCATGAGGATTGTATTATTTTACCACACTTAGTCAATCTGTGTGCTGAGTAAATAATCTGAGAAGCTGGGCTATATGAAGAACACAGCATCAGGACTGAAAGAAGACTCATTAACAACCTGTGATGTGGCGATGACACAATCTTGCTTGATGAAAAGGAAGCACTTATTAATGAAGTTCAAAGACTAGAGCCTTCAGTATGGAATACATGTCAACATCAAGAAAACAAAAGTCCTCACAACTAAACCAAAATACCAACATCATGAAATGTGGAGAAAATAGTGAAGTTGCCAAGGATTTTATTTTACTTGAATTTAAAATCAACATCCAGGAGAGTATTGGGTGCACTGGTTTTGGAATTCGGCTTTTCAAAGAAGCTTCTTGACACCAGGGAAGACCAAGATAGATGGGAATACTGAACTTACAGAGATGAAGAAAACAAAGACTTTTCATGGGGGTGGCGTGGGGGGTGTAACAGGAGAAAGGGGGAAGAAGGAGAGAGAGAAAGAGACTTCTTCTAGAACTGGCACCCTGAATTTGGACTTCTAGCCCCCTAAACTGTAAGAATAAATTTTGTTTGTTAAAGCAAACAAAAAACAAAACCCCACAAAACCAAAACACCCATGGACACAGCAGTCAAAAACTCAAACTATGTTTTGAGCACTGGCCATTTCGCTTACAGAATATTTTTAAAGTGCTAAAGGGTGATGTCTCTTTGAAGTCTCTAAAGTGTATCTAATCTAAGCCATGGTATTGTCCATTGCCTCATATGCATGTGAAAGTTGTGCAATGAACAACAGACTTGAGCTATGAGGTTGATGAAGAATATGGAATGTATCATGGGCTACCAAAAGTAACCAATACGTCTTGGAGGAAGTACAGCCAGATTTCTCCATGGAAGCAAGGATGGAGAGACTTTATCTCACATGTTTTGGACATGTTATCGAGAAGGGTCAGTTCCTAGTTGAACGACAACATGCTTGGTCAAGCAGAGGGCCAGTGAAAAAGAAGAAGGCCTTCAATAAAATGGACTGATAGAGGGGCCCAATCACAGCAGCAACTGTAAAGATGGCACAGGGTCAGGAGTGATCCATTCTGTTGGATAAAGGTCATTATGAATCTGAACCAACCTACTAGTTCCTACCCGGAACCTAATGACACCTACCAACAACAATATGCTTAGGGAGCTAGTCTAGTAATGGAAGAGCAATAACACAAAGCATTATCGTCTTGTAACCCAGTGAGTGGACTTCAACCAGAGGCAATTTTGCCCTAGTGACCTAGTGGGTGAAGAGCTATACTGAGAATCTAAGAGTGTTCCCCTCTCTGGTGATTTGAAGCCACCAGTAGTTCCATGGGAGAGATGGGTAATTTCCTCCCATGCTTTTTAGAGCCTCTCAAAGCCCACTGGACAGTCAGTTATGAGTTGGTTCCAACTATTGGTAATGAATTTTTGAGGAGATATTTGACAATGTCTAGAAACATTGTTCATTGTATTTGCATATGGGGTCACTATGAGTTGGTTGATCTGACAGCACCTAACAACATACGTATTTTTCCATTATCATGACAGGCATCTAGTGAGTAGAAACCAGGAATGCTGCTAAACATCCTATAAGGCACAGAGCAACCCTGTACAAGAAATATTTTTTCAGTGTTTTTTTTCTTTTTTTGCATTCGAAAACAATGAAACTCATGAAAATATTATTCAAAATGGGCGACTCTAGTGGACATTATGCTGAGTGAAATATCTCAGTCAAAAAAGGACAAATACTGCATAGTGCCACTGTTGTAAAACAGGACTGACATCGGGGTTAGGGGGAGACTAAGAGAGAGAGGATAAATAATGTATACTGCATTGAAACAGATGAGGGAGAAAACTGTTTAAAAGGGACATGTGATTAGGTATTATTGTCATGACAGAAGTCCAGAGTGAAGGCTGCATACTGGAGTGGACCTGGGGAGAGGGACTGTAAAACAATGAAAGAATTTTTCTTTTACTTTTCAAAGAGAAGAGTGTACTGGGGGGAGGGGTGGGCAGGGAGAAAAGTGCAACAATGAATGAATGGAAATCCAAAGTCTCTAAATTTTCATTAAAATTAACAATTAAAAAAAGGAGAAAAAAAGAAATAATTTTTAGTCCAAAATATGAATAGTGCTGAGGTTGGGAAACCCTGCTTTACCCATTAGATAATTTAAAAGATCATCATTGCAATAAGCAAGTAATTCAATGGCAATCTGGACTTAAGTTGCTTTGGGATATTCACATTTTAACATGGACTTGTGGTGCTGGAGAAGAATATTGAACATACTATGGACTGCTAAGAGAACAAGCAGGTCTGTCCTGGAGAGGGTGAAAGCAGGCTGCTCCTCGGAGGGAAGGATTTTGAAGCTCCAACTCACATACTTTGGGCATGTTGTGAGGAAGGACGAGTCCTTGGAGAGGGACATCATGTTTGGAAGGGAGGAGAGACATTTCAAGAGAGGAAGACCCTGAATCAGATGCATTGGCTCAGCAACTAGGGTAAAGTGGGTAGGTGTGTTGGAGGTAATAAAATTGGCTCAAGATAGGACAGGGTTCACAGCTATTACACATAGTATCTCTGTGAGTCACAGGCCACTTGATAGTACATAACAACAACAAGTGGAGAAAATGGAGATTTTTTTCCATGTGTGAACTGCAGCTAGATAATTAGGATTTTAATAATATGCTAACTTTGTTATTATATTTTAGGGTAAAATATTTATATAGAAAGTAATTTCATATTTGACTCTCATAACTGTGAGCATTAGTATTTCTAAGGTATAAGACAAATACATGAAAGTAACTCTGCCAACATCACACTAATGTGATTAGAGTTAAGACTAGAAATTGGATCTTCTGATTCCTTGTTCAGTATTCTATCCACTGTATTATTTCAACAGTTTTTACTGACAGCTGTTAAATTCTGCTCAGAGGTAGGAGCAAAACCATTGGAATGCTGGGGGTTTTTGTTGTTGGGTTTGTTTTTTTTAATTTTATTTTAATGAACATTTACAGAGACTTTGGAATCCTGTTTTATGAGAGTCTCTGGGTATGGAGCCAGTACCAAGTCTATTTAACTACAAGAGTATTCCTTGGAAGCAAGGGTGGTGAAGCTTTGTCTCACATAGCTTTTTGTGTATTTTGTTAGGAGGGGCTGTTCCTTGGAAAGGGACAATATTCTTGAAAAGGTAGAGGGTTAGTAAAAGAGAGGATAACCCTCAATAGGACGCATTGACACTGTGTCTGCAGCAGTATGCTCAAGTGTGTTAGAGATGAAGAGGATGGATGGTGCAGGATAAGACAGGGTTCAGGTCTGCTGTTCACAGGGGCCTGATACACTCATCTCAACTTAATAACACGGGACGTGGAAGTAGGGAGTTCTGGAGCCATAGTAGTAAGTCCTGGTGCTGCCAAACCATAGGCATGTGGTTCAAATCTACCAGCCTCTCCTCGGAAGAAAGATGGGCAGTCTCCTCCTGTGCAATGTTACCGCCTCTGAAAACTCACTGGATTGCCAGCTATGAATCAGTTCTAAGTCCATGGTACATACAACAACAACACAGGAAATGAAGAAGAGTCTGGCTAGGCAATGGTTAAGTGCTTGGCTATTAAAAGGTTAGCAATACAAACCCACCAGTAACTCTAAGGATAAATGAAGTGTCTGATTTACAGCCTTAGAAACTCTAATTGGGTTAGTTCTACTACATCCTATAGTTGCTCCAAGTTGGGATTTACTTGATGGCACATAACACAGGAAATGTTAGCTGTTCAATCTACCCAGCAACTCTGAGAGAGATAGACTTGCAGAAATATTCTGGACCTGCTATGAATCAGAATAAATCCAAAGACAACTAAGCACAACAGGAACTCGGTAGAAGGTGGCACTGGGACAATAAATTCCTTCACTTGGCCCCGCCTCCTGGACTCACTATGTGTTAATTGGCAAGCATCCTAGAAAAGGTCATTAAAGTCTTTTGCATGAAAAACAAAACCAAATAGCATTTAGTAATCAGTATCAAGACTGGAAGGACTTAAACAAGGGATTAAGGAATAGAAATTGAAGCTGAGGAGAAGAAAGTGCAAAAATGTAGACATCAACTTAGTGAAAATATCTGAAAAATAAGGAATCTACACAAAAGCATAGGATAGAATTTGACAAAAGGTGGGTTGCAGATGCTAAGATGGGACCAAAAAAGAGAAAAGATTCTCCACAGAAAGGAGGATAAGGATTAAAAGATTATTTTACTTGCTTTAAAAATATTTTTATATAGTGCCTGCTGCATATTAGATGCTTTACAAATAACTCTAAATCTTCACAACCATTTTATGAAGTAGGTACTTATATTTTGCCACAGAGTCAA